AGAGAAACACTGTTAACTGATGATGTATGGAGGGGATTATAATCAATGTAATGAAACAAGTCATATGAATGGTTGAATGAGAAACTGATGATGTGCCCTGTAAACTTTCACTCAATCCACAATAAAAACCTTAAATAAAAAACATAAATAAATAACAATTAGGCAGGTTTGCATGGGCAAAGTGAGACAGAAGTAAATAATGATGTATGCACAACCTTGGAACAACAGGCCTCTGGGATACAGGGATTGAGACATAGCTGGAATGAGGAAAAGGGGGGAAATAATGTTAAGATGCTTGGCTGTCTTTTGAATCTTGGTTTCCCTGGCATACAATTGTAAAAAAGAGACTTAAGGGGAAGGAAAAGAATAGCCAGAAATATCATCATATATCTACCTATAACTGATTGGAATACCTAAAATGGGGCTACAATGTGCCCAGAGAAGGAGGCTTCCTGTGGAGCCTCTGCATTACGTAAGACCATAGGCGGGATCCTGAATAGCATCCAGAATCTTCAAAAGTGGGAAGTTTCCACTTGAAAAGACAAGCAGACCAGCCTGGAGTGGCTAGAAGAACAGAATATACTTCTTGAAAGAAAGACCTACAGGAAAAATTTAAAACAATAGGCAGTCCAACTGATTACTACAAGAAAAAGCAAGTTGCTCGCCCAGGAGACATCAAGGGAAGTGGTCAGGTCCCCTGAGGGCAAACTCCCTTCCAAGACTAAGACTCAGTGGGAATGCACGCTCTGATTGGTGACCCCGCTCGTCACTAATAAGGGGAAGTGAGGGAAAAACAGCAATGAAGCTGTGAGTTAAGCCCTACAACGTTCAATAGACTCTTGTGAACCCGGGTAGAGACCTGGTCGGACAGTAGTGTGGCAAGCCCTGGGGATTCTTGGGTCCAGAGTCAGTGACGCAGCCACAGAGAACTAGAGTGGAGAGTGAAGTGTCCAGCTGAAAGAAGAGAGGACACATGCATAACAACACCCATACTTGCAGATAATACCCACTTGACCTGGCTTCAATGTCTAGATTATCAGTTAAGAAAGAAGGGGGAAAAAGAATAATCTGATATAATTTGATGAACTTGATCTACACCTATGGATGCAGTAACTCAAAAGAGGGAACAAATCTTTACAGTGAGGACCATTCCCACCCCCTCCATACACAGAGTAGACAGGCATGGGCAACTTGGACATTGGCTACCCAAAATGGAGGGGGGGGTGTGCTACAAAAGGCAAGAAGTGACTGGCTTACAAGCTTTCAAGAGGGAGCCTAAATCCAGAGAGTATGGAGGAAGGTAGAATCTCCAGTGAGTAGTATCCAATCTGTGTAGGCAGAGCAGATGAAAGGAGGTGGAATAGGTCGCTTCTGATACAATGGTGAATAATTGTTATCAGGACTGACTGCGAGGGTTGGAAATGTACAGGTGGACATTTTGTAGCAAAAGGAGGGGAGTGATTGACTGCAATCTAGGAGCAGAGGTCCCTGGGACCATCAACGAAGAACTGAGTGTGGGACCCTACCCAGAGATGGAGGCAGAGACGACGACATGGAGAGATGGAGCGGCCGGGGACTCTAGACTCAGAGAGGGAGAGGGGCTGTGTGCTGACGATCGGGTGGCAGGCTTGCAGGCTACACACTTTGGTTGGTTGATGATGCATGGAGGGGATTGTAAACCATGGCAATGAAACGATATATGATAGGATGAATGTAAAGCTAATGTTCTCCCATGTAAACTATCACATAATTCACAATAAAACAAAAACAATAACAAAAAAAAAACCCAGTTGTGGCATCTTCAACGGATATTCAAAATCATGTTGTTTTCCAATGTTCTTTGAGTTTGGGAAACAAAACCAAGTCTAGAGAGGCAAAGATCAGGGCTGTAGCATGTGGTAAGGTTTCACGACACTGTCCTCCTAGGACAGGTCTTTCTGCCCTTGAAGAATGAGCCTGTTGGTGATGGAAAACACCTCCGTCACAACAACTTTCCTGACCTTTTTCTCACCAGTGCAGTTTTCCACTTTCTGAAAACTTTTTCATAATAAGCCCCTGTGATCAATCTGTGTTCATCAAGATAACTCTATCAAGATTGTGCCTTTCGAATCCAAAAAGAACAACTGTCATAACCTTCTAAGCTGACCTCTCTGCCTTGAATTTAACTGGCCCAGCCCTGGTGTGGCACTGCAGGCTAATGCGCTGGACCGCAAGGTCAGTTTGAACCACAAGGTCGGAGGTTCAAGTTCATGAGCCACTTCTCGGAAACATGGTTGCTATGAGTGGGAACTGACTCGATGGCACTTGACAACATTTTTTATGAAGGCACACACAAGAATAAGACAAGCGGCGTTACTGAGAGAACTTGTCTGCAACTATCCAGCTACCCAGACTACAGACGCATGTTCAAACATGTTTTGTTTGGAACCAACTTGGGCATGTATGAACTGGAACCCCATTAAGCAATACTTTTATCCTCATATGTTTCCATCAACACAGTGAAAGGAAAAAGTAACCACATTTTACTAGAAAGTACGGTAAGCATGATGACTGTTTGAAGAAACAGGGTTTTAGCATGCTGGTCAGAATCCCAGCCCACCTCGCTCTCAGTGTGTACTCTGGCCCTTCAGACCATTCCACACACTAAGATGGGGCTCATGGGTGCTGATCAAAGACATGGAACTGGCTCTCCATGGCTCCTTCTAAGACACCTTCAATGCTTCCCTTTGTCTGCCTTGACACACCCTTTATTTTGAACTAAGCTTACCCATCAGCTCTGCTTTCAAAGTGCTTCCGGTTCCCATGAAGCCTTCTCCATTCCCTTAAACAAAAGTGATCTTTTTACCTCTGTGGCTTCCTGACCCTTTGTGTCACCACAAAGCACTTTTGGCATTCTTGTTCTCATAACTCATGTGCATTTCTAGCCTCTCCATGGAAATTTTAACTCAAGGAAGGGACTTTCTGTAATTTCTGCCCCCCTGCCCCACCCTGTGTTTGGCACAGACCCCTTCCTATTACTAGCTCTGGACTGTGGGCTTGAACAGGGTTTCCAGCTCACCTCTTTCTCAACCTGAAATGGTGACACTTTTTGATGGGTCAGCAACTTGAACCTACCTGAATTCTCCCAGACCTTCATGCTATTCACCCCGGTTCTTCTGCGGAGGAAACCGAGACTTCCTATTGCACAACTGTCCCTTTTCTGGCAAGCTCACTGGACCTCGTACTGGTCCATGTTCTCAGCCTTCCACAGGTCATTTCCGGGAGCACTTAACCAACAGCATTCTGAGTATTTGTCCACCATGAACCAACTTCCTCTCTTTGTGGCCTGTGGTAGTCAGTAGCACTATCTGCCAAACGTTTAGTTCTCTCTCTGAGCCCCTGCTAATGTGGGTATGGCAACGAGACTTATGTTGCCAGAGAAATCTGTGAGAGTTGTGTCTTACTTCAGGAAGGAAGTTCTAGAAGCCAGCACAGCCTGTACCCCTCTCCTTCCACTGCTGTGCGCTGTAACTTAACACTCCAGTGGGTGAGGAGCCCCCACCTGGACTCTAGAACAGGGGCAGGGATCCCAACTGACACACAAGGGGCACAGAACACAAGCATGAAATTGCTGCTCACTGAGATTTAAGGGCTGTTTGTTTCTACAGCAGCCTAGCTCATCCTGACTGCTGAATTTGTTCAGTGTTAGAGATAATGCTCAACGAATGCATACTGAATGGATGGTGTCGAAAAGACAAGTCTGACTGCATTTAAATAAACCCTTACACTGGTTTCCATTAGGGCCACCCCTGAGCATGCAGGGACTCGATGCTGCCGCACTATACAACTCCTACAGCACAGCCGAGAGCATCTCTGTGTCCTGCAGTGATGTGGGGAAAGCCCTGGGAATTGTTCTGTCCTGAGGGCATCCCAAAGGCACGGATGCTAGGGTTGGGAACTTCAGCTCATGACTTGCACTTGAGAAGGTGAGGTAGCGCGACAACTTGCACCAGCCTCCCAATCCCCATGCCACCCTTCTCCTGATAACATAAACCCCACGTTTGTCTGGACACAATGCTGCCTAGCCAGGAGAACACATTTCCCTGCCTCTCAGGGAACTGCGTGAAGGTACCTCACTCAGTCCTAGTCATGAGATGAAAGCCGAGGTGCTGTGGGGACTTCTTGCAATTCTCCTTAAAGAAGACTACCCTCCTTTTCTCATTCCTGCTCTTTGGAATGCAGACAAGATGGTTACACCCCAAGCAATTCATCTTGAACCCTGAGGTCATGTGCTAAGGGTGGCAGGCAGAGTGGCCCAATACAGGGGACCAGGGTCTCTGATGGCCAAGAACAGCATGTTGGCACTGGAGGGTCAACAGTTGTCTGTGAAGACGCTAATACTGACCATTGCTCTCATGCAGTCAAGCTTAATCCTAACTGATACAGGGGGACACGGTTTGGGACAGAGCTGCCACACTTACCTGAGCACATCAGACCACACAGCACAGTTAGGGAGGGACGTGTTCCATACCCACTACTTTCACAGTAAAAGGATCAACGTTTTGGCTAGGAAAAAATGTTTTTTAATTCAGAATTAAGGGGACAGGAGCATTAAGGTTTAAAATTTCATAACAATAAATTTCCAGAATAAAGCCTTGATGTTCTCAAATAAAACCACAGAGCCTCTAGGGTGATGCGGTGAAGGAGTCAACGTATGACCATTACCTGTTGTCAATGCAAACTTCGTAGCGGGCACCATGACCAGAGGGCGCTTTCCAAGAACAGTCCCACAGGTTTAAATTGCTGGTTGTGCACGTCAGATCGTGAGGAACTCCTGGAGAAGGAAAAGCACACAACACAGTACATCTTCATGACATGAACACACCGTAAGAGGCCAACACGGCATGCCATTTCCAGTCACAAGAGCAGGGTATCTATCTGCAGAGGGTCTGCGGTCATGGGAGACATGGGAGGCTGGCTCTGCAGTTCAGTTTTACGGTTTGGGTTAGAAAAAGCTAGTGGGTAAATGGATGAAAGTGGGCCGACCACTATACTAGTTAGGAGGGACGCGTCTTCTATCAAAAATGCTACTTCCAGGAAACTACGGCAAACTAGAAACAAAGAGAAGTGACCAGATATGTCGGCTCCAGATGGGCCCGAGAGACAAACTGGGTGGCTTTGAGTACTCCAACAGAATTGACTCCATGGCAGCTGGTACTGGTTAACTTTCAGGAGCCACATTTTGAAAAAACGAAGCAAGAAAATTAAGGCTAGTATATCCTATGCCAACAAGCAAAGTTCTGAAACACTTCTTGCCACTACTATATCATTGCTTGCTGCCACTCTGCACAGAAGTCCCCAAAGCAATCTTCAGGTGTGTATTGTTTCATTTCGTTACGTGCCACTGAGTTGGTTCCGACTCATAGCGACCCTGTGTAGAGTTTCCGAAGCTTTAAATCTTTGCAGGAGCAGAAAGCCTCATCTTTCTCCCATGGAACAAACAGAGCTTGTGGTTCACAGTCTAACGCTTATTGTATGGAACCAATGCGCTCCCGTTGTTACTTTGAGTAAAGTGCCGTTGAGTCGGTTCCAACTTATAACAACCCTGCACTGGGTTACTGAGGAGCAGCTGGTGAGTTTGAACTGCAAACCAACCTAGCAGTCCAGTGCTTGATCCCACAGCATCACATCAGGACTGCACTGCACTCCCCAGATGTGTATGTTGTTGTTGTTGTTATGTGTCATCGAGTTGGTTCAGCACAGTAAATTCACACAGTCTTTAAAGTATACAGATGTTGTATGCGAGTCTAAACAACTGGCAAAGAACAAATCACTGAGCATATTAACAATCCTAACAGTACTTAGGAGACCTGGTGTGGCCCTGTGGGCTAATGCATCAGACTGCAATATCATTTGAACTGCAAGGTCGAGGCTCAAGCTCACCAGCGGCTCCCTGGAAACCCTATACAGGGTCCTATGGGTCTGAATCGACTCGACAGCACTTAACAACAACACAACAGTACTTGCTCACACCTATAAAAGTAAGACATCATAGACGACATAAAGCACTACGCAACGTAAGAAAGTCATCTTATAGACGAAAAGGAACTAATGAGCATGAGGGAGGGAGGATAGAGAGAAATGAAAACCAATGTAGGATAGGACAGGTGTTGTGGCTCAGACTCCGAGTATGTCTCTCTATAGTAACAGTTCTGAAAAAGGTTCTCTTTAATTTTTACATATGACTAATCTGATACTGCAGTCCTGGTGTGGTGCTGTGAGTTAATGCCCCAGACTGCAAAGCTGTTTGAACTACAAGGTTGGTAGTTCAAGCTCATCAGCCACTCCTTGGAAACCCTACGCAGGGTCGCTATGGGTTGGAACCGACTCAATGGCACTTACCAACAACCAACAAGTCTGATATTGGAGTCTTGGTGTGGCGCTGTGAGTTAACGCACCAGACTGTAAAGCCATTTGAACTGCAAAGTTTGCAGTTGAAACTCACCAGCTGCTCCTCAGAAACCCTATACAGGGTCACTATGGGTTGGAATCAACTTGATGGCACTTAACAACAACAACAAGTCTGATATCTGGGGTCCCGGTGTGGTGCTGCAGGTTAATGCATGGTCAGACTGAACCTCAAAGTCAGCAGTTCAAGCTCACAAGCCACTCCACAGAAACCCTATACAGGGTCGCTGTGAGTCGGAACTGACGCAACTGCACTTAACAACCAAAGTATGAAATTCACATGCCATTATTTAAATAAGACAGAAAAATAATCATTCCATTAGAAGTTATCACATTAGCAATCAGTTGTTGTTAATTCCCACTAAGTTGGTTCTGACTCACAGTGCCCCACATATAGGGCTTCTGAGGAGCGCCTCAATGGGCTTGAACTGCTAAACTTGCATTTTGCATTCTAAGTCCTTATCCTACAGCACTATACCAAGCATCAGTAGTAGTCATAATGTTGTTGTTAAGTGCCATCGAGTCAGTTATAACTCACAGTGACCCTGCATAGGGTTTCTGAGGAACAGGTGTTGGGCTTGAACCACCAACTTTCTGGTCAGCAGTTGAGTGCTTATCCTACAGCACCACGCTGGATTCCATAGTCATAATAATAAAGTTATTTAATGACTGACCTTGGGGAAAAAGATCTGTTAAATTATGGAAATAATCTAAAAACGAAAACAAGGGGCTACAGGATTATAATGTTCTTTACGGGAAATGTTGTTGTTGTGGTTAAGGACTGTGGAGTCAATTCTGACTCATAGTGACCCTACACAGGGTTTCCGAGGCTGCAGATCTTTACGGGAGCAGACTGCCTCATCTTTCTCGTGCTAATGGCTGGTAGTTTCAAACTGCCGACCTTGAGGTTAGCAGACCAATTCATAACCACTACATTTTGAATATATCTAAATAATACAGTGTATTATTTAAAAAAGATTTAGATTTAGTTTAGAAAAGTCTAGAAAAGGTGAAATTATTGAAACAGCAACACAGATGCATGGTGACTGGGGTGGGTGTGGGAGCTACTGCCTACAGAGGGGCCCAGGAGAATTCAGGGGAGGGATGGCAGTAGTCACACAACCGTATAAAACCAAACCAAAGAAGCAGACGCGTTGGTGTTAAGTTGGTTCTGAGTCACAGCGAGCTACACTATCTAATAGAGCCACTGGGTTTCCAAAGCTCTCCGTTGTGTTTATGGAAGCAGACTGCTACACATTCCTTCTACACAGTAGTCTGGTGGTTCAAACTGCTGCCCTTTCAGTTAGCAGGCTAAGGTCTGTCTACCCACTGCGTGCTTACACAACTACACTGTTGTTGTCATTATTAAATGCCAGAGAGTTGATTCCGACCCCTAGCGACCCTGAATAGGGTTTCTAAGGAGCAGCTGGTTAGCTTGAATTGCTGTAGACATTTGTCAAAACTCACGAAACTATATCCTGAGAAAAGCAAATTTAAATGTATGTATATTATACCTAAATTTTAAGATCTTTGCATAGATCCTTCTTCTTGTTATGTGCCTTCGAGTCTGTTCCGACTCATAGCGACCCTGTGTAGGGTTTCTGAGGAGCAGCTGGTGGGTTTGAACTGCTTACCCTGTGGCTCACAGTCCAACAACATACAGCACCACACCACAGATCCCTAACGGTCTTTAAAATGAAACCAAGAAGTACACAGGGAAAAGATGAAGAAATGGATTTTCTCTGTCCCAAACCTAAAGGGTTCATTAGAGGAGGAAACCAGATGGTGTCGTAATGAAAACAGTAAAATACTGCAACGCATTCATCTGCTATGATTCCAGTGTACTTACCTTTCTTCTGGCTATTTACTTGATTCATTAGATAGAGAAGAAGAACTGAGGAGAAGAGCCACTGAAAATCTGAGCGAGCCTTCATTATCTTACTGTCCACCATCCACAATGGTCGTCTACTAGTGAAGTACATGTCCATTGTCCACACAATGTAGTCAGTCCTAGATGAAGAGAAGAATTTCAAATGCTATTCAAATTACTTCAAAGATACACCAAACAAAACAAAACGCCAAACGCCACAGCTATCAAGTCAATTCCAACTCCGCGTGGCCCTATGTATCACAGAGCAGACCCGCTCCGTAGGGTTTTCTTGGATGAAATCTTTACCCAAGCAGGTCAACAGTCCTGCCTTCTCTGATGCCACTGGGTGGGTTTGAACTGCCAACCATTAGGTTACTTCTTGTTATTGTTGCTAAATGCCATCAAGGTGGTTCCTACTCAGCGATCCTGTATAGGGTTTCTAAGATGGGTATGTGGTTAGCAGGCCAGTGCTTATCCTAAAGTGCCACACCAAGACTCCTGACCAAATAGTTCACACACTCCAACTGAAATATGCGATACATGAATAACTCTGGAGACTCAGACTCATGCTGTCCTGCTTTCTAAGATGGGAACTAGCTGGCTGTAGCTTCAAGTATCCATTAGAGAGTTCATTTCAAACTGATGGGATTCAAGTTCAAGATTATGACTGAACACAAGGTCACTGACCCCTAACAGTACGAAAATGTAGTCAAGCCGTAACCATGCTTGGAGTTGTCACTGATGATTCTAAGTGAGACATGGATGTTGTTGTTGTTGTTAAGTGCCGTCGAGTCGGTCCCGACCCATAGCGACCCTGTACAGGGTTTCCGAGGGTGTAAATCCTTACGGGAGTAGAAAGCCTCATCTTTCTCCCGCGGAGCAGCTGGTAGTTTCGAACCGCTGACCTTAAGGTTCGCAGCCCGATTCGTAACCACTACGCTATGGCCATTTTTAAATTGTTACCTGTGTTAATTTTCAGTCACTTTCTCCCAGTTGAGTGTCAGAGCATGTGGCAGCTTCTGACTAGTGCTAAGACTGGCTGTTGTACATAGGTCACCATGAGTGGGAACTGACTCAACACCACACAGGGACAGACAACCAAAGATCCCACAACAATTCAGAAAAACCTAAAACATTAAAGAGAAATTCAGAATAAACCGGAAAACACAAAGGAAAATGCAGTATTGCCAGAGGAAGCAGGGGTCATTGAGGAAATGGGGGTGGCTTAGATAACTATGGCACTCATAAAACAAGACTAGGATGCAATGCAAAAGGAATAACCAGAAATAAAAATGAGCTCAGAAATGAAATATGTTGGGAGGCTAGTTAAATATATATATATATAAGAGCTAAGAATTAAAAGCTGGGCAATATTTCAGAAAAAAAAAAATTCAGAAGTGACAGGGGAGACAGAGAGTTGATAAAGGAACAGATTTCCAACATTTAAATTAAGAAACCAATATGAGAATTCAGAAAACCTTCTTCTCTGTGTAATCAAGAGGCAAGATCTCTTCTGAGCTATTAGAAGTATTATTAAAAATCCCTGAACTGAATCCCAAATATCTAAAATAATTATAAGCAGAGCATACACATGACCAGAAGCATACATCTCCAAGGTGCTCAGTTATTTTCTGGATGAATGAATAACTCCTGAGTCAATTCCAGCGACACCAAGTCTACTTATTGGAATGAAAATGTACTTGTGGAATGCCTAACACACCAGTTGCTAAAGTTACAGAAATACTTCATGTGCACTGGAATAATAAAGGTGACCAAATGTGACCCCTCCCCCCACCCCAAACTCTTACCACTGACTAACATAATCACAAACCGTATTCCCTGGCTGGTTTAACAGTGCCTTCAAATGAAACTGACCCTCATGACAGCTTCACAGCTCTTGTAGGGAGGAGCCACGTGCCCCACTGCCATGCCAGGAAGAAGTGGCAGGTGAGAGATGGAGGTCGCCGAGGAAGGACTCTGGACCAGGTGCTGAGAGACTTAGACTCTAATCCTGGCTCCATTACTAATTAGCAGTGTGACTGAGGGAAAATCACTTAATCCCTCCCAGCTCCAGCCTCAACCACTGCAGCTCAGAGGCACCATCTACTCAGGGCCCATATAAGAAACTTCCCAAAGTTAAACTGCAATATTCCATCCCTGTTGGCAGGCCTAAGAGTGCAGACCGTATGTAGCTCGCTAGCAGGGCACTGAGGTACAGAAGAAAAATTAACAACAGGGCCACCAAAACCTGCTGGACTTAAAACACGCATCATAGAAAGAAGGCTTTCCCTTGTCATAACATTTACACAGAAAAGTTTTGAGCAAAGGCATTTTAGGCAATATAATATTACTCTTATGATAGATCCAACTTCTTCACCAAACAAAACTTTCAAACGGACTTAAATGAAGATCAGGACAATATGCAGAGCCTTACAATGTACTTTCAAAGAAGAGCATGCTTGCAAAATTTCTCACCAGTCCCTCTGACAGAAACATTGTCAGAATTTACTCTACCCCCTACCCCTTCCTCCAATGATTTAAAAGAACAACTCAATTGTAGGAATTAACTTCCACAATTAGGACATCTGTCTCTTGCCACAGCAAATGCAAATGCGTACGGGGTTAAAATAGGTAACAAGTAGGCAGGTGGGCGTCTGCTAGCTGGAATGCACATGTCTAGTCTACTAGGCCTGGTTTTGCGAAATTTTCTGATTTTTCAAGACAAGCCTGAAACCTGGGATCTATATAAACAATCAGATAACCTCTGGGTGACACAAATGGCTAAGCACTTGGCTATTAACCAAAAGATTGGCAGTTCAAATACATCCAAAGTGCCTTGGAAAGAAGGCCAAGCAATTTGCTTTTTCAAGGTCACAACCACTGAGAACCCTACAGAGTGGGTGGGTCTACTCTGACACACAGGGGCACCAGGAGTCGAAATTAACTCAATGGCAACTGGTTTGGTTTGGATATTGTTGTTAAGTGTGGTCAAGTCGATTCACACTCAT